TGTGAATCTTAACTGAGATAACACAGGCACTAGACATAGGGCAACTAGCTAAGCAATAGATGTTGCTTAACTCTGAGGGGATATTTTCCCCTGTGGAGGGGAAGAAAGGTGGCCTGATCTCAGTTTCTGGGGTTTAAGGCAGAATTGTGGCTTCTAGAGTGTGCGCAGCCTCGTGGGAGATTCCTGTGGAGCAGGCAGCCCCTTCGTAGCCTCTGCACCCGGTTCTAGTGCTTCTCTAGCAAGGAGGAGCTGTGAATGTCTCCTAGGGAGGAGAAAGCGGGACAGAAAAGGTGGGAGCTTCTTGCTCCTGGGAATAACTAGCAGAGGGAACCAAGGCCAGAATCCCGGACCACCTCCTTTCCGGTCACCCAGGCTGGGCCTTGGGACCAGTTTCCAGAATGTCGGGTCGCCCTGCGGCATTGCCACAGCAGGCGGCTGGCGCTCAGCCCTAGCTCGGCGTCGGGGAAGCAGCGCTGCGGGACGCCCGCCCGGCTCCGGGGCCGCGGGAGGTAAGCCACCCGCCACAAGGCCACGCCTCGGAGCCGCCGGCGCTCACTTCGCTGCCGGCCGCGCGAGGCAAACGGTTGACTTCCAAATCTGCCCGCGTCCGCGGCCAAGACCGGGCAGGTCCGACGCCCGCCAAGCCGCGGAGTTGAAACGCTCCCAAACAACCGGGCCAGCCTCATCCTCGAGCTGCAGGACGCGCTAGGGCTTGTCGGCCTAGCCCGCGACCTAGGAGCCCAGCGCCCCGCTGGGACCCGTCAGCCCCTCTCCTCGAACTGCGCCAGCCTCCAGCCTCCCTCCCGGAGGATGAGTCCGCGGGCCGTGGGCCCAGGGAAGCCTAAGAGGGCCCCCAAACCCCGGGCTCTCAGCAGGCTGCAGCATCGAGTGTAAAGTCCGGGCACCTTTCAGTGGCTGGGGCCGAGGGTAGGGCTGGCTCCCGGGAGCAGGTCGCAGACCCTTTGTCGGGAGGGGCAGTCGCAGGCCGTGCACCCAGATCACCAGAAGAGTGCGGAACCGGGCCGGAGACCTAGGGGTTTGGGAAGCAGGTGTCCCCAGGAGGGCGGATGCCCGCATTTCCGTAAACAAAGAAACGGGGCAGCTCGTCTCTGGAGACGGGGCGGCTGTTAAGAGAACCGCCGACAATTTCCTTCATAAAAATGCGATCTGAGAGCATTTGATTTCCACTTTCACTCCCCCCACCCCCCGCCCCAACACACGCACTGTCTCTAAAGACACTCAAATTGCAGCCATATGGGGCTAAAGTAATAGGAAGCAGTTACCTTATTTACTGCAGAGGCGGCGCACGCCAACCCGGCAGCCGCAGCCTCTGCAGCGGACCGCCGAGCGATGGGATTAAGAATAGCGTGTCTTGTCTTTTACAACTTTGTTTGCTCCTGGGAGGTGTAGGTGGGGAGGGCAGTTATCTAACTTTGAATCAGGAAAGTGATTGTGTGGAGAAAAGGGAGGTGGCGAGAATTGAGTGGGTCAGGGAAAGGGGTTCGATAAGAAAGGTGGGGAGCAAGGATCCTCTTTCTGTGGGTTCCAAAGACCGTGCGACCAGCTAACCTGCCCTCTGGGTCTGGTTCAGACCAGGCTGGAATGACTGCAAACCTCCTCTGCCTGCACCCCCACGCATGCTAGCACCCTCTCCCAGCACTCTCTCCCAGCAGACAGGACATCCGCCGGCACCCACACAGCGAGATCCCGTGGGCTCCCATTTCTCAGACCGCCACCTCCCGCTTTGTCTCCAAACTGTCCAGGAGTGAGGTTGCCCGTTGACCTGTTTTCACACCCCCTGCAACGCTGCTCTCTTGGAGGCAGTTGGGGGAAAGGGGGTGCGCCAGGCAGGGGTGAGACACACTCTGCCCCGTTGGGGATTGCCTTCCTTGGCGGGACTGAGCGCGTCTGCTGCTGAGAAGAGCCGGGCTACCTGCCCTCAGATTATCCTATACCTCTTCTTTCCTTCTGAATCGAGTTCCACTTTTGGCACAGGCTTTGCAGGAATCCCCGACGTTTGCAAACTCAGACTCTTCGCAAGCGGTAATTTTGTTCAGAGCAAGCATTTCTGAAACAATCGCCATCAGGCACAAAGGTGGGTGGGAAATTGGGTGGGGAAGGTAAGCTAATTACCTAATACCCTGCCCAGAGGAGGGAGCCGTACCTGCCAGCATCAGGAGTTTCATTTCTTCACTTTAAGTTTCACAGGTATTTAGGCAAAGAAGGGAAAATGAGGTGGAAAGAGAGGGACACGGAAGGAAGGAAGGAAGGAAGGAAGGAAGGAAGGAAGGAAGGAAAAAAGGGAGGGAGGGAAGAAGGAAGCAAGCAAGGAAGGAAAATGGAAAGAACGCATGGAGAAAGGACTAAAGCTATCTTCTTCGGGGTGAAACTGAAACCATCGCCCTCTGCACGCCTAGTGCAAACCCCACGGTCTGTAAAGGCATCAAGGGCAAGCACAACCCCGGGAACCCAGCTCCAGAAACTCTATCTGAAGGAAAACCTCCGCTCTTCGCGGGTGCGGGAGAGCTTGCCAGGGGTGGGGGGAAGGGCTCGAGGCCAGGCGGATGAGGTCCCCCGGCCCACTCCGGGAAGGCCCCCTCTCCCCCACTTCCACGGTGGCCCTGGAGCCAGCCCGAGGAGCTCAGGCGGCCGGTGCGGGGCTGGGACGGACACGCAGCCGTTGCCTTCGGCAGGCAGCGGATTCCAAGAGGGGGCGGGCGGGACAGGCAGAGCGACCCGGGCCCGGGCGGAGGGTGGGCTTTCTTGGGCGGGGAAACCAGACACTTACAGGCGGCTGAGGCCGCCTTTATTTTTACTGCCCAAACTGTTGGAAAGTATTTAAGCTTAAACAGAAACAGCTGTATCGCTGGCACCGGCCGACGAAACTATTTGTTACCGGGAATGACTTTTTATGATTAAGGACGCGCCCGTCGGCGACCTCCCACGGGCGGCCCACGAGGGTCACCGGGAGATCTGAGCGTCCTCGACGCGCTGTTCGTTCAGACAGAACGGCCAGAGAGATGGGGCTGTTCGACCAGCGGCCACCTTGTGAAGTTTAGGAGCGAGGCCAAAACCTGAAACCCTTGTTTCCAGGGGCTGGGTCAGGACTGGGAGGGAAGACGGGCGAAGCGCCCGGCCTGCCCCGCGGGTCGAGGACCTCCGGGCTGCCGCCGCCTGCGCGCGCCTCACTTTGGACAGGAGGCCAGTTTTCCGCTCTGGGCTTCCTGCCCCTCCGAGGCAGACTCCTTGGCTGCTTCTCTCTCTGCCTCCCTCTTTTTTCACCCTCTCTTTCTTCCACCCCAGCTCTGGCCAAGGGAAACCGCTTCCAGTCCGGCTGATCATCGATGTTTGAACTAAATCGTGGGTTCCAAGGAGTAGGAGTTGTAATCTGGAGCTTGGGCAGTAAGAGAACAGGGTGGGAGGGAGCTGGGCCCGGAGTGCGGCTGCTGTCCCCAGCGCCGGCCCCGCCACAGGTCACCGGCAGCAGAGCCCGCGCCAGGGTCGGCGGCGCACGTGCGTGTGTGCGCACCCGAGGCAGCCGCGGCCGGCCCTTGTCCCTTTGCAGGAGCTCGCCATCTTCGCGCGTGAGACCCTCTCGCCCAGCCCGCACCGGACCCGGCGGCGTCCCCCGCCTTCCGCGCCAGCGTTTCTCGCAGGGTGTCCGCCGCGCACGGTGGGAAGGGCGGTGGGCAGGAAGGGCGCGGGCCGGGCGCTGGGGTCCGGGGAAGGCCGGACGCACCCCCAGCCGCGCGCCTCAGCCCCTGCGGGCTCTGCCCAGATACCCTCAGCCCACCCAGGCCCCGGGCAGAGGGCGGCCAGGGCAGGCGAGGCTCCCGGCCAAGGTCTGGGGGGCGGGGGTGGGCCGCGCGAGCTAAGGGCAGGGGCAGGTGGCTGCGGGCGTCGGGGACGGTGGGGGGGGGCAGGAAGAAGCCGCGCGACATCCCTCTGCGGGGTCCGGAGGGAACAGCCCGGCCTCCACCAGGTCTGTGCTCGGCTCCGGAGCCGGGGACCAGCGCTCCAGCCAGCCCGGCTCGCAGGGCCCGGAGGGTGGCCGAGGGCAGGGCCGCGCCACGGGAGCCTGAGACACAGGCACATTGATTTGTTAGCGGGACCCGGCTGGCGGAGGGGGGCGTTGCCATGGAGACCGGGGGTCGGGTGTGCTGCGCGGGGGGCGGGGGCGGGGGCGGGGGCGGGGGCCGGGGACCGCGGAGGGGCTCTCGGGGTGCGGGCTCGGCCCGCGGCGCCCCGGCACCTGTGCATTGTGCATTGTGCGGCGCGGCCGGCGGGGGGAGGGGACGGCGCGAGTCCTGGGCGGTGGGGGTGGGGCGGGCCGGGGTCTGCCGAGGGGCGGAGCCAGGCTGACAACGCCGCGGGGATCCCAGCGAGAGCTGTGGGGGACGCCGAACACCGGAGGGACTACTTGGTGGCGGGGGAGGGGGGCCCCGGCGAGGACAGAGGGCGACCGGCCCCCCTCGCCAGCCCCGCAGACTGACAGCGGCCGGGCCCGCCCTCCCCGCGGCGTCACTTCCGGCGGCACCCCCTCCCACTCGCGCGCTCAGTCTCTGGAGTCGCCTCGGACTCCGCCCCCTGGCGATTGGAACGCGGGTCACGTAGCAACGCGGGGGAGAAAGGGAGAGGGGCGTGGCTCGGAGCTCGCCCAATCAGCGCGCGGGGGCGCAGGCCTCCGGCCGCTCGGCTTTAGCAACGTCGTTAGCAACACGTGGGGCGGGAGGAAGCGCTGGGCGGAGGGGAGGGGGCCGAGCCGAGGAGCGCGGGAGGGGGGCCGCGGGAGGGAGCGAGTGCGCTGGGAGGGGGAGGAGAACTGACGTCAGCGGGAGAGTATTATGGTCTGTCGTGCGCTGGCTGCTGCTTTTCTGCTCCTGGAAGCGGCCAAGGGGGGAAGCGGCGAGTCAACATGGAGCTTTCAGCGGTGGGGGAGCGGGTGTTCGCGGCCGAAGCCCTCCTGAAGCGGCGCATACGGAAAGTAGGTGCCCCCGGGCCTTGGGCCTCCTTGCGGCCGGGCCCTCCCCTCCCGGCCCGGGTTCCCTCCCCCTGCTGCAGCCCAGCTTCCCTTCCCCCAGGTCCCAGCAGCGGCCGCGGCCGTGGCGGCGGCGGCGGCGGCGGCGGCGGCGGCGGCGGCGGCGGCTCTGAGCCCAAGCGCTTTCCTTAGACTTGCAGCGATGCACGGATTGCATGGGTTGGGGGGCGGGGTGGGGGAATGAATGCTGGTGCATGCACTTTGTGCAGCGTTAGGTGCAGGGGTGATGCAGTGGGCGCGTGCCTTTTGCGGCGGGGTTTCGAGCATTCATCTGGTGCATGCATTTTCGCATGCATTTCTTGTATCCTCGTCATGCATTTCTCCCCATGCACACACATTATCCCCTTTGCACCCGCAGGGACGCATGGAATACCTCGTGAAATGGAAAGGATGGTCGCAGAAGTAAGTAGGTTGTATGCAATTCTCAACCCCAGACTGTTATTCAGAAGGTTTCTTTCTTCCTCTTTTTGCCTTTACGCGTCGAAATACAATACAATGCAACTAGAAAAGTTACACACACATACACCCTCGGCTCTCACCCAGCTCCTGAGACTGATGCCCACTTCTTCCTGATTCCCTTTAGGTACAGCACATGGGAACCGGAGGAAAACATCCTGGATGCCCGCTTGCTTGCGGCCTTTGAGGAAAGGTACAGACCCTTCCAAGTCGCAGCCCCTCACTTAGAAACAGGTAGAGTGCTTCTCTCCAGCTGCTCTGGAGTCCCACTTGCTTTCTGTACTCACGCACCCTTTCTTCTTCCCTTGTTTCTCCAGGGAAAGAGAGATGGAGCTCTATGGCCCCAAAAAGCGAGGACCCAAGCCCAAAACCTTCCTCCTCAAGGTAGGCTGGCACTGTCCAGTGTGGACCACAGTGTTGTTGAGTTACTCGTGGGGAGGGGCCCTGAGGGCTGTGAGCCAGTGAGGTGACCACACATGTTGCCGATTTGTAATCTAGGAAGGAGTTCCCTGACAAGATGTCACCAAGTCGGTGGCAGGACCAGGCCATGTCTGGGGGAATGGGCTTGGCCACGCTAGATTTCCTTTACCCCCCCCCCCATCCCAAATGGATATGTAATCAAATGCAAAATGTGTGCTTTTTGCAAATGATTGCTTCCAGACAAACCCTCTACCCCTTCCCCCATCCTGCCACACCCTCAGCTCCAGCCACCTCCCCAGGCAGCCACCCACCCACCCATACATCCAGGTAGAAATTCCCAGGTATCTAAGGGTAAGGATGGGAGGGCAGGCATGGAAGAGGAGTCCTGTGGAGGAGGACAGAGCCCTGCCCCACTCTTGACACCATCTTCTCTCCTGCAGGCCCAGGCCAAGGCAAAGGCCAAAACTTACGAGTTCCGAAGTGACTCAGCCAGGGGTATCCGTATCCCCTACCCCGGCCGCTCGCCCCAGGACCTGGCCTCCACTTCACGTGCCCGAGAGGGCCTTCGGAACATGGGTTTGTCCCCGCCAGCCAGCAGCACGAGCACCAGCAGCACCTGCCGCACAGAGCCCCCTCGGGACCGGGACCGGGACCGGGATAGGGACCGGGAGCGGGAGCGGGAACGTGAGAGGGAACGGGAGCGGGGCGCCAGCCGAGTGGATGACAAGCCCAGCTCGCCAGGGGACAGCTCCAAGAAAAGAGGCCCCAAGCCCCGGAAGGAGCTCCCGGACCCCTCACAGAGGCCATTGGGCGAACCCAGCGCAGGCCTCGGAGAGTACCTCAAGGGCAGGAAGACGGACGACGCCCCTTCCGGGGCAGGAAAGTTCCCAGCCGGCCACAGCGTGATCCAGCTGGCCCGAAGGCGGGACTCGGACCTGGTGCAGTGTGGTGTGACCAGCCCTAGCTCAGCCGAGGCCACGGGAAAGCTGGCTGTGGACACCTTCCCGGCCAGGGTGATAAAGCACAGGGCTGCCTTCCTGGAGACCAAAGGCCAGGGTGCCCTGGATCCCAGTGGTGCCCGGGTCCGACACGGCTCAGGCCCCCCCAGCTCTGTGGGGGGCCTGTACCGGGACATGGGGGCTCAGGGGGGAAGGCCCTCCCTCATCGCCAGGATCCCTGTGGCCAGAATCCTGGGGGACCCGGAGGAAGAGTCCTGGAGCCCCTCCCTGACTAACCTGGAGAAGGTGGTGGTCACGGATGTGACCTCAAACTTTTTGACCGTCACCATTAAGGAAAGTAACACGGACCAAGGCTTTTTTAAAGAGAAAAGATGAATGCCGGGTTGGTGTGCCCCGGACGAGAGCAGGGGAGAGAGTGAGCGTGAGCTTGGCATAGCGATTTTTATTTCTGGGTGGGATGTGGCCTTTGGCTGGTCCCATGCCTGACGTCACCCCCACCCCCACCAGCCCCTTTCATCCCTCCTTCCTCGCCCTCAGTTTTTGTTGGAAAGATTATCTCTAGAGTTATATTTTCTATTAGATGTAAATATGTTATTTAAGAAAAATATCTAAATATATATATTTCAACTCTTGAAGTTGTTTTATTTAAAGGAGAGAGACTCTCATTGTGCTTTAGTTGGGGCAGGCCGAATCAGTTGGGGCAGGAGGGGCCCCCTTGCCCCAGGGCCCTAGGGAAGTTGGGGGCCTGGGTACAGGTTTCTGGGAATGTCTGAGGGGCTTGGCCTGCCCACCCACCCCTCCTCCCTTCTCCCACAGCCCAATGCCAGACTCCTGGCACCAAGGCCAGGCCCAGATTTGCTCTCTCTTCCCATTGGCTAGGCAGGCCAACAAAAGGTTGGCTCCCCAATCAGAAAAAAGGGGGGTGGGGTCAGTCTGTTTTCCTTTTTTCTACTTTTTTCTTTTTCTTTTTTCTTTTCTTTCTTTTTCTTTTTCTTTTTTTTTTTTTTTTAAGGTAAAGAAGTCTATTAGGGAGAAAAAAGTATTAACTTGAATAAGCTTTTCGTGTGTGATGTTGAAGTTAAAAAGTCACCGGCGGGCAGGGACAGGCGGTTTCTTCCCAGGACCACACCAGGAAATGCACTTTAGGGAGGGGTGTGTGTGTGTGGTACACGCAGATTGTGTGTCTGTCATGTGGATAAAATCTCCCCGTTCCCTCGTTCCTTTCCTTACTCCGCAGAAAGAAAAGAAATCCAGCGAATCTGTTTACATTCCCGAAATGCCAGGATAAATTGGGAGGATTGCGTGTCAGTGCTCAGAGTTCGAGACAGTTGTTTTACAAGAAAAGTGTTGGGGTGGACTTTCCCTTTTCGCGTCCTCTAGCTTTGCCAGGAGAAGAGAAGGCGGCCCCCACCTCCCAGGAAGAGCTGGACAAGCCTCCCTGCCTGGGGAGGGCGGGCCGCCAGCTCCGCGATGGACACACGGCCAGACAGGCCCACCCTGCGGAACCCACGGAGGGAGGCGCGGCGGCGGGCGCTGCTGGGACCGGCGGCTTCGCACGCAGTCTGTCGCCGCGGCCAGGCTCGGAGTGCGGCGGAGGACCCGGCCTCGGGGCTCGGAGCTGGGGCCGGACTCACCCCCGCGGCTCCGGCGGGGCGGGGAAGGAGGGGCCGGGCGGGGTTTCATCCAAGAATGCCCATCGGAACTTTTGCTTTTCCCTTCCCCCCCCCCCCCCCCCGTCCTTCTTAAAAGCAAAAGCTATAATTTATAGGCCTTTTCGATTCGCAGTGTTCTCTATTTGAACTCGACATTCAAACTCCGCCAAAGCGGGGAGGGAAGAGCGGGAGGTGGGCGTGGGGACGCGGCCGCGGCCCGGGACGCCCCTGCCCGGCGGACTGGACCGCTCCCCCTCCGAGGGCCCAGAACGCGCGCCCCTCTTTTGACTCAAAAGCACAAATCAGTCCCCTCCACTCCATCCCGGTGCCCGGGAGCACGGATCCCGCGGCCTCCCCGCCCTCCCCGCCCTTAAAGGGCCAGCGAGTATCTAACGTCGCTTGTCGAGGGAGGGGCGCGGGGGCCCTGCGCTCCAGAGGAAGCACAGACTCGGGGCGAGCGAGGCGGGAGTCGGGGGTGGGGAGCTTCGCGTGGGGTGGGGGTGCTGGGAGGGAACCCCAGCCTCGTCCTCCGCACTCCCGGCTTCTCGGCCCCTCTCTCCTCCAGACTTTCTTACCTTTAAAGAGAGGACAGCAGGGAAACGGTGTACTACAGGATTGTGGTTGTTTTTGAATATCAAATTGCGCCTATAAAGAGAAGTCCCTGGAGTGGGGATTTTTATCTGCTCACATTTGTAAAACTGGTATTTTAGACTTTGTATAAAGAAGCGCCGTTGACCGAGTGTATCTATTTAAATGTCGACGCTATTTTCAGATGAAACTTCACTGAAAGGGCATGTCTGTTACCGAGTGGACCGGACTGGGGGACACGCGTCTTCACCTGGCCGCCGCCTTCCCTTCTCACCCGCCTGCCCTTCCCTCCCACGTCCCTCCTTTCCTGGGGCTGACTTTGCCCCTTCCCTTGGACCTTCCTCCAGCCAGCCTGTTTCTGTCCCTGCCGCCCTCGTCCTGCTGTTTGTCCGTGGCCGTGCGTGTGTGTCTTCTTCACTCGCTCTTGCGACGCTGACCTGGGGGGTGGGTGGGCAGGGGCCAGGGGCCGTGTGGCTGGGAGTCTGCAACCGCGCAGGATGTGTGCGCTATTGGGTTTATTTAATTCTAAGATTTGTACAAATCTCCAATCGATCTCCGCCTCAGCTCAAAGAGTGAAGCTTCAGTACCTATCTTCTGCGGTCGTGAATGTCTGTATCCAATACTGCTTTTTACGTGTTTAAATATATACTTTGTAAATAGAGACATGTCTTGGTTTTATTCTTTTTCTTTCCCCCGAGCAAAGGGAAGAGGCATCCCGGGAGGAGAGGATCCTTTCCGTCCCCCGGCCCCATCTTCGCCCCCATCGGTGGGGGAATGGTTCCTGAAAAGGCCCTTCCCCAACTGGGCAACCCAGCCAGCTGGGATGGAGGTGGACGTGGGAGGCCGCGGGGTACCACTCTCCTCAGCCTGTCCCGGGGAAGCCGTGTCTCTCTGCACCTACCGGCTGCACTTCTTCCGGACTCGGGCAGAATCTGGGGACCCCGGGAGGATGCGCCTGGGGTCGGGGGTTCCCCTTTCTGGCGGGCTCCTCCAAGCGCGCCACACCCCCAGGCCAGAGATGTCTGGTCTCCGAGTCCCCGGGGCGTCGCCGCGCTGCCCACAGCCTCCCGGGCCTGCTCCTCGGAGCTGTCGTGAGACCCACTCCCTAGACCCATGCAACCTTGCTAGCGCTCCCCGAAATGCAGAGCCTCGCGCCTATTGATTGAGGAATTGAATTCGCGGGTATTGCTAGGCAACTGCCTGCTCCGAGCCGGCGCAGAGCGCTGCTGATGTGATTAGTGAACCTGGAGCCTCGGCGCTGCAGCCCCGCGCGCCCCCGCCCCCGAGTCCCCGCAGCCTCCCCGGCCCAGGTCTCCTCGGCGGGCCTGAACCCCAACGATGGGCGAGGGTCGGTGCGGGGAGAGCAGAGTGCGGGGTGGGGGTGGAGAGGGAGGTGTTCTTGGCCTTTTCTGGCCGCAGACTTCATCGCAGTGGGGGCGGGGTCGTGAAGCCCGCACAGGAGGGCCACCCTCGGCATCCCCAAAGAGGCCCCGCACTCAACCCAGTTCTGCTTGCATCGGGCCCCGCCCTGCCCAGAAGCCGCGATTCGGGCTCACCGGTACAGCCCGCCGGGAGGGACGGGGACCGGGGTCGCTCAGGCGTCTCCGGCCGTTTGCCGAGGAGTCCGTGGCCCGGCCCTTGGCGGGGCGTCCCCCTTCCCCAGCTGTGACCGGTGTGGGAGGGCGCGAGAGGACAGGAGCTCCTGGCGCCCGGGCCCAGGGCAGTGGGTCACAGAGCCTTGTGTCTCCTTCCGACGTGAGGGCCCGCGGTGCCGGCCGAGGAGAGTCCAGGCCGCCAGGCGTCAAAGTCCTCCGCCCGAGGCTGCCCGCGCCGCAATAAGCGGTCTCCGCGCGGGCAGGGAGCGTCAAGGGAAGGTGGGTGGGGTGGTCCCGCGACGGGGGCCGCTCGGACGGGGTTCCCTCCCGCCTCCACTCGTGCGTGTGTGGGGCAGTGGCATGGGCTCCTGCTTAAGCAGATAGGAGGTGGCCGACCCTGGCCCTTTTTCGGGTTCGCTGGCCATCACCAGCCTCGGCTTTGAGGAGCGCCTTCGCGGATTTCCGTTTCCTTGGCAGATTCCCGGGGAACCCACAGCTGCAGATACGAGATGTGCGCCGCGGCCTCAGGGCAGGCCGGTTACCCTGCGGCCCTAGGACAGGGCGGGCTTGTGCGGCCACCGCGGCGGGGAACCTGGCCCCGCACAAACATTGGTTGGGCTGGAAGGGTCCTGCTCTTCCTGGAGTGTCGGATCGGATTATTTTCCGTCCCTTCGATGCTAGCTTCGCACCATCCTGATCTAGGCGCCGTGCCGTGCGCCCGGGCCGCCGTCGCACACACCCGGCCCGGCTCCTGTGCTGGTTTCCTCTCCTCACCTAAAAGCCCTTCAGGCCCAGAGGAGCCTCGGACCCAACTGAAGTCCAAGACTGGCGCGGCTCAGGGCCCTGCGGGATTCTGTTCCGTCCACTCTGTTCTGTTCCGCCTGCAGCCTCGGATCCTGAACGCTGCGAGGGAGGCTGCGGGCTGGGTCGGGGGTTTCCTCCTGAGACTTCGGAGGCGGAGGTGGCCGGGTTGCAGGTGGCGCGATTGCGTCCCGGGCACCCCGGAGCCGCGGCTGGCTTTTCCCCCGTCCGTCCGAAGGGCCGGCGGCCGACCTTGGTGGGACGCGCGCGCCCTCTGCAGGTGGCGGCCTCCGCCCGGGTGGCCGGCGCCCACCCCTTCCCCTCGGGGGGCCAGTGCCTTTCTGGTTCCGAACCCGAACAGAGAGAGCCCTATCTCTCCCCACCCAAAGGCACCGCAGGGCGCCCACTGCCACGGGCGCCCCCTCTGCGTCCTCCCTGAGCTCGGCGCTCGAGCCACGAGAGCGGAGGCGAGGAAGGAGAGTTCCCCCGCCCGGATCAGCGCTCTCCCAGCCCCTCTGCACCCATCTCCCTCCGGCAGGTTGCGGCCATGGGGTCGGGCCCTGGAGCCGGGTGGGGCCCCTGGCAGCCCAGCCTATTCTTCTGCGGGGCACTGGATTAGGCGATCACATCAGCAGCGCAGAAACTGACAAAGGCCGAGCAAGCCCGGCCCGGCACCCGTCTGGCGGAATCCCTGTAGAAACGGGCTGTCCCGAAATCCTGGCTCCCCATCGGGGCCGCGCCTGCTCCTGCTCGGTCAGCTTGCTCCTTCCTGGCGGTCCCAGCCCCTTTCTGCAGCTCTGATAAACCAGAGGACAGGCCCGCTGGGGTCGCCCCTGCCCACTTTCTCCAAAACAAAACAGCCAGAATCTTCCGAAGGCAACAAAAGAGAACCTGCCAGCAGCAGCCTTCTCTGCGAGGCTGATTTCGAATTTGCAGGCCTTCCTAGAGCCGGCTAGTGCCGGGGTCACATTTCCATTTACAGTGGAACCCTCTCCTGAACCAAAAGATTCAGGCCTTGCCCCGAGTAGTTTTTCACCCAGTGGCCGCAGCATCTAGGCCCAGCTTCCCTCTTGACTTCAAAGAAGCTCTATTCTCCCTGGAGGCTGGAATTTATGAATAAATTCATGCTGAGGTTGGTGCAAGCCTTAAGGGCTCCAGGAAGGTTCTATAATAAGCAAATCACCTCTTTATTCACGAGCCTTGGGTTAGGAGTTGCAGTAGCTGCTAACTCACAGCGACTCCCCTATAATTTTATGGCTGTATCCTTGTAAAGCATTAGCACAGACGGTGGCTTTGAGGGGTGGAGTGGCTTTCCGACACAGCATCATCTTTGGATACCGTGGGGGTAGGGAGAGGGAGAGTTTTGGTTTCCTTTGAGTCTCAAAGTGAGTTTATGTATTGCAGCATCCCTGACCACCTACCAGATGCCGGCGACACTACCCCTGCCTCCCACCCGTGGGTCATGTGTTTCTTTTTTCCCATTAATTGCGTTTCTCAAACTCAGCACTACTGACATACTGGGAAGGATCATTTCTTTCTGTCATGGGGACTGTCCTGTGCACCTCAGGACACTGGTACCTACCCACTAGATGCCGGTGGCACTCACCCCACAGCATGACAAGCAAGATCTCCAGATCTGCCAGCTGTCCCCTGGGATGACAGATTGTTCCCTGTTGTGAACTGCTGGTATATGGACTCTTAAGCTCCCCAATCCCTTGCTTAGAAAAACATATTTTTCTGCACCCTGTGTGAGTGGCCAAACTTTTCCCAAAGTCTTTTTCTTTTGCTTTTTGAGACAGAGTTTTGTTTGCTCTTGTTGCCCAGGCTGGAGTGCAATGGCTCGATCTCAGCTCACCGAAACCTCCGCCTCCTGGGTTTAAGTGATTCTTCTGCCTCAGCCTTCCAAGTAGCTGGGATTACAGGCATGTGTCACTACACCTGGCTAATTTTGTATTTTTAGTAGAAACGGGGTTTCACCATGTTGGTCAGGCTGGTCTCGAACTCCCAATCTCAAGTGATCCACCCACCTCGGCCTCCCAAAGTGCTGGGATTACAGGTGTGAGCCACCGAACCCCGCTACTCTTTTTCTTTGCCACCAGTATTCAGCCCATGGCCAGATGACTTATTTTGCCTCAAGAAAGGAAAAGACCAGAGTCGATTGTGTTTCCAGGGGTCATTCATGATGTACACCAGGCCAAAAGTTTTTTTTTTTTTTTAAATTTATTGAAATACTAAGAGTTAACAAAAGGACAAAAATCTTCTGACACCATTTGCTGTGTTTTCCTGGCAAAATAAATTAACATCAGTCTAAAAAATGAAAAAAACCTTGCAACCTATGCTAGTTTCCCAAAAATGCTAGAAAACCCACAGAATGACGAGATGCACTTGAGTGAGAGCTGCGCATCTAGGCACTACCTGTCCCAACTCCATTCCCTTCCCCCACACCTTCTGGGGGAAGCATTTCCTTGAACTGGTTGATCCCAGTTCAGCGTGGGCTCTGGGTGGCTGTCCTGTTTCAACACAGACCCTGTCCTAAGGCAATAACACATCTATTTTCATTCTTTTAAGAAAGCAAGCAGCCATAGTTGAAAGCAATTAGAAGTGGCATACATGAATGATTTGGCTTTTTATTTATTTTTTTTTTTAATTAAAAAACACAAATCAAGCCAGTGATTGGCTTTGGTTCAAAGCTTGATCCTCCCCCAAAGTCTCCCCTTAATGAAATGTCTCAGCCCAGAGCCCTCTCCAGCTAGATCAGAATTCCGAGTGTAACCAAAACAAGGAACACTCTTTTTTGGTACAAAATATATACATAGAAAAATATGCCAACACCTGTAAGGAAGAAGGCAGACTGGCCACTGCTTCCTGTTCAACACAGGAGCCAACAGGACGGGGTTAACACACCATTCCACATACACACAGGCCACCGTTCCTGTGGGACCTTCAGGATGTGCCAGATACCTAGACAGTGACACACAGATGTGCCAGATACCTAGACAGTGACACACACACACACACACAAATAGCAGCAAATAAAAATAGAAAAAGTCTACTTTTATTTATTGGTAAACATAAGACAACCAAGTCTGAGCATTTGGGGCAGCTCCCCGGTGGCGGCACCTGCCCTGCACACGTACACACACTCTTTAAGCACCAGGAAAAACACGCAACACAGTAAGAAGGCAAAGTGGCTGGGAGTAAGGTATCTGCAGATTCAAACTTTGGGACTGAAGTAGCTGGTAAACAGAAAGGCACCAATTCGGGCTCTGGAGACCTGGCTGCTGGGGAGGAGTCTGGTCAGCCCAGGCACCCAGTGAGACACTCTCATTTCTCCAACTCCTGGAAGCCCAGTCACCCCTGAAGGACTGGAGAGCTGTCAGCCTGGCTTTGGAGACTCCAAGGCAGCACCGTGCTCCGCAGGAAGGAGCCACGACCTTGCCTGTCTGGGGACTGGGAGGCTGGTGCCCGAGGCATAGTACGCCAGGAACCATTTCTCCTAGGTCGAGCAGGGAGCTGGAATCTCTCCCTCTCCTGTGGGAGCAGCTCCTCCCCTTACTGCCTCCAGCTCCAGCCTAGATGTCTGGGACTCTCAGCCTTTCAATTGGCTGAGGTGGGCACCATTCCTGTGGCAGCCAACACAGCCACTGTGGGCTGGCCCCAGGTGGCATATGGATGGCCCTCAATGAAGCCAAGGAAATGGGTCCCTCCCCAAAGGCACACTGTTGAGATCAATTTGGCTATACCAAGGCCACCTCTTCCTATTTGGCACAGTGAAGTACTGGCGGGGGGGGGGGTCTTGCCCCCCGGAAACCAGAGCCCATTCTCCAAGTCCGGGCTGCTCTGTGGAAGGGCAGCCGCCCCTGTGGCCAGGCACTGGTATAGCCCCATGCCTGCAGGCTGACTTGATCCAATCATAAGAACAGAAAGTGACCACTCACTCCCTCGAACTTCTCTTTTTGGCATCACAAAGATCCGGTGGCCAGACTGCCTGCTGCTGCCACCTCTGGGTTTCCCTGTCTCTGCCCAAGCTGCTCTCAGAACAGAAATCCTGATATTGGTCAGAAGCTATACAAGGCAGCTCCCATGTCACCACCTGGAAGAGGCTCAGACTCTTGAGTTAACATGGCCTCAAGGCCGAAGCTGACAGCGTTCGAGGGCCCTATACCGGGGGGCCGCCCAGACTTCACCCAGCTTCCCACATGGTACAGGTATTTTCAGCTGGAAAGGAGCCAAACAGGGAACCCCTAACGGGAAGGGGGATTGTCAGGGAAAGTGGCATTCCTCAAGGAATGGCTCGTCCATGTGGGCAGGACCCACAGCGAACACCTGTGGCACAGGCAGAGCTGGCGGCTGGGCGGATGGCCTCCCAAGTGCTGGCACTCCCATCCTCGTCTCGGGGAAGTCTCTGGACCACAGTTAGGACCAAGCCAGTCCTTGATCAGCAGCAGTCAGTCCTGGGTGTGGAGGGACGGGCTTGCCTGCCAAGGGTCCTGCCCACGGGACTCCTCTGGGCCTGAGCACCTCCATGTCGGGTTTTCCTTCGGACACTGAACTCCAGGCTTTTTGGAAATGGAAGATGCTTCAGTGGACCCCAGGCAGGGGGTGGGTCTGGAAGGGGGCTCGGGTCACTTCTCACTGGGACAGCAAAAGGGTGGGCAGTGGCCACAGCTTGCCTCCTGCTCCAAAGTGTGGAGGCTCTTCAGGTGGAACAACCCCCCACCCCACCCATCCTGGCCTGTGGGTTGTGTGGGGGCCGTCGATGCTGCCCTGAAGTGGGGCTAGATGGCCGCAAAGCCTGTTTGGGTTCCTGTGCTCACTCTATACCAGCCGCCAGCCACTGTCCTTCACAAGGCTCTAGCCAGCCCCCAGCTGTCAGGGGATGGCTCCCCACCCCACCACTGCTGGCTCAGGCCATGCTAACCAGGCCCGCCCCCACCCATCCCATCTCCCAAAAGCTGTCACCAGGTGGAGGGAACACGAGTCCCACTGGCCTTGCCTCCCCACGACACTCTCTTGCCACCCAAGGCTGAACGTGAGGTGGGCCAGAAGCCCCCTCCTGATACCTCAGACCCTGGGAGATGGGAGCAAAGCTGTGATTCAGTCTTGCAGGCCAAGGAGGGGCAGTTCAAACCCAGCACCAACGCAGCCACGAAGCAGCCCGCTCTGTTCAAGACGGTCACCCTGAGCCACGGGTGCCTCCACGTTTCCTGGCAGGAGGAGAGAGGAGAGGCCTACAGAGGTAGGAACATGGTGGAGAACAGGCCAGCAAGGCAGGGTGGGGGCGGGGAGAAGCCCCTTCCAAGCCTGCTCTTCAAGACCACCTACTCCTCCTCCCGACCCAGACCCTTGACGGGGCTTGGGCTGGGAGTCACTTAAGTCAGCAAAACCCGAGACAGAGAAGGGGAGGTAAGACCGGGCAGCTGGTGGCGTGGGGCCTTCAGTAATGCCTCAGGTTGAAGAAGCCCACGCTGGTGGGAGACTCCTTCACTGTGACGGTGATGAGGTTGGCGGTGACGTCGGTGACAAAGACGTGCTCGATGAGGCTGCGGGGGGGCTTCCAGTCCTGGCTGGTCTGAACCGACACTGACGGGTTCTGCCCGGCGCTGGGCGGTGAGGTGGAGTCAGGGTCGGAGTCAGAGCTGCTGCTCTCCTCGCCTGCACTCATCTCGGGCAGCGCGGCCGCCTTGCGGGCTTCTCCGGGGGCCGAGCGGCTCTCCTGCCCACTGGGGGTGGCACTGCCCTTGACACAGTCCCTCTTGCCGGCAGGGGTGGGCAGCGTCGCTGCTCTGGAGGCCAGCTTCTCACTTTTGCTGGTGTCGGTGGGCATGGTGGCCCCGCTGCCCCCGATGGAGCCACCCCCAGTGCCCTTCCCAGGGGCTGGGTTGGTGGCCGGGACACCCTTGGTGGTGGTGGCGTGGCGGGCGAGCAGACCCGCCCCAGGCATGCCATTCTTGACACTCTGTAAGTCTAAGATCTGGAAGCTCAGCTCCTGGGTGGGGGCTGGCTGGGGGCCTGGGCACCCGGCAGGGATCCTGCTGGCGCCATGGGTGTGTGGGGGCCCCCCAGTGCTCCCGGCTTTCTGCTCGACAGCCCCGCTGCTGGGGGCCTTTGGGATTTTGCTTCCTGGAGGGCTCATTCCCAGCTCCCCTTTCTGCGTCCTCACCTTCAGGTCCAGCCCGAGGCCACACTTGTTGGTGGCCTGGGCCTTGAGTGCCAACCTGCTGGCAGCCTGAGCCTGGCTCTGGGTCATTCGGTTCATGTAGTGCACGATGGAGCTCTGCCAGCTGATGCCACCACGGCCGGGGCTGCTGGCCATGCCCTTCATCAAGCTGGCCAGGTTCTCTGGGGTGGCCATGGTGCTGGGGCTGCTGCAGGCCTCCTTGGCATGGGCCTTCAGAGCTGCCAGGCCTGCCACGGGGGCGCTGAGTGGAGGGGGCAGCTTGCTGGCCGGGGCCCCCAAGTCCTTCCGGGCCGTCTTCAGCACCTTGGCCAGGCTCACGGGTCTCCGGGGTGCCTTCTGCTCCGGAGGCAGGGGCTTGCGGCCCCGTTTCTTCCGGATGGGGTCCTTCAGCTCGGGTTTGGCCACCAGGATCTGGGCCTTCTTCTGAGGCACTGGGTGGGTCTCCCGGCCCCGGGGACCCCTCTTGGCATCTAAGTCACTGTCATCCTCTTCGTCTGAGGAAGACGACGATGACGTGGAGGAAGAGGAGGAACTGCTAGACTTGGATTTGGAGGGAGCATCGGGTTCCTAGAAAGATAAAGAAGTTGGCAGGGTGCAGTGGCTCACACCTGAAATCCCAGCACTTTGGGGGCTGAGGGAGGTGGATCACCTGAGGTCAGGAGTTCAGTTCAAGACCAGCCTGGCCAACATGGCTGAACCCCATCTTTACCAAAAATACAAAAATTAGCTGGGTGTGGTGGTGCGTGCCTGTAGTCCCAGATAACTGTGGAGGCTGAGGCAGGAGAATTGCTAGAAACTGGGAGGTAGAGGCTGCGGTGAGCTGAGACTGCGCCACTGAACTTCAGCCTGGCGACAGAGTGAGACTACGTCAAAAAAAGAAAAAAGAAAAAACAAAGATAAAGGCGATGTCCCAGCCCCACTGCCTGCTCCCGCGGTCCAGAGCAGCCAGTACCTCCTGTGGCCTTCAGACCGGAGAGGCAGCCGGGAAGGCGCCACCTCTCGCCACACTCAGTTCCACGAGAGGCAAAATGAAAGGTGCGACAGAGAGAGAACAGGTTCGTAAGGACGACGTCAGAGTAAGGACGGAGTCCACACTAGAACGCCCGCCCACCGTCAGCCGTCAAGGGGGCCGCAGAGCAGACATCCAAAGGCAACTAACTGTATCCAGAGTGTCACAGTTCGCAGGACTCGCGAGGCTCCAGGTCGTATGAAGCAGCAGGCCCAGCTCTGCGGCCTAAACCAAGTATCCCCATTTCCCAGTCTGAGCCTTCCAAGACACAGGGAAACAAGCCACTGCCCTCCTCGCCTTCTGGCTGTCACCCTAAATATTAAATAAGAGCGTCCTCGTGTTTCATGGGCCTCCATGTTGCCTGGGGATTTTACAGCGTCAGATCCAACACCGCCTCCCTGCTGCCTGATTCTCCCAAATTCAACAAGGGCGATTTCTGTCAGACCTGGAGGGCCTCTGCTCCCCTGGCAGGCATCAGTCACTGCCTCGTGGCCCTCCTCAGTCAGCAGGGCTTCTGCAGCCCTGCCTTGCTGCTCAAAAGAAGATTTTCAAGACGAAGTAAGGCCAGTAAAAACATTCATTCAGGAAACCCTCCTGGAAAAGCGGGTTGTGTAAGTGACTGAGCCTGGGGCCACACCATGTGGAGGTCCAGGGACAGTGCTCCGAGGAGGGAATCAAAGACACATCCCGGACTGAGGCCAGCCCTCCTCCCCGCCCCGTGAACCCCAGGGTCCATGGCATACCTGAGGCAGGATGAGCCCATCACTGCAGCGGGAGGGGTGACGGGACGGTCTCGACAAGCACGTTCATCACCCCACATTGCCTCTGCCCTCCTGCAAGGCCCCCTCCTGGCACCCCTGGCTATTCAGTCAGCCCTGCCTCATCTGGCCCCCTCAATTTCAGGTGCCTTGAGAGGTGGGCCTGGAGTAGCCCAAAATCTTGAGCTTGTGAGTCACATCTAGCTGGCAATCCTACAAGCACCTACTGTATGCATGCTTCCTGTTCCTTTCTGTCCCCAGAAGACCCCCTGGAGTGAGAAGTGCTTGTGAGCAGCACTTTGACCCTGCCATGCAGCAGAGATGCACGCAGGACAGACTGGAGCAGAAGCAGGAAGGCCCTGGGAGGGGCAGGGAGGAACTCTCAGCCAGCTGGGGTCCCTGGCAGCAGAAACTGAGAGGCAGGAAGAAAGGGGGCTCCTGTCTTCCGGGCAGAGGGACAAACTGTTGGCAGGAGTGCCACCCCCTTCCTAAGGGCCCCAAACCCTCCCTCTGCCTGCCCCCACCCCAAGGGGGTACTGGGAGGTGGGGTCAGCACACCAGCTGCAAACACCCACCTTGAGCTTGGCGCGCCGGCTGCAGGAGGACATGGCAGTGAGCTTCCTCGGCCGGCCCCTCGGCCTCTTGCCTCTCTTCCGGTTCTGCACCTCCTTCTCGTGTTCCCTGAAGGCACACCACTAGTTAACGGAGAAGCCCTGTGTACACCCCCTTCGACCCCATGGGACTCCGTGGCTTGCAGCACCCTATTCCTGGCGGCCTATAATGGCACATCTTGTTCGCTGGAAACATATCAATACCCAAGGCAGAGATCAGACGCCGTTCTTTGCACTAGGATCTGTAACCAGCCATCCCATTTCATGCGGGTAAGGACAAGCTGAAGACAGAGCAATGCTGGGAAACCAGTGATCCCCGTTTTCTCTGACCCCTCTGAAGGCAGCTTCCTGCAGGTACACCGCTGCGTGGAAATTCTAGCATATCCTAACTACAAGCGGCCTCGCTGGCCACGTGGTCCAACCTCCTAAATTCCAAGAGGAGAAGGAAGCCCAGGGCAGGGAGGTGCCACCCATCCCCTTGGCAGCTGCAGATGCATAAAACGCTCACCCGAGCAAGGAGCACCATGGCCCTCCAGCCCTCGCAGAGCCTGGCTGCTGGCGCATGGCTCTCCATGTTTCCTTTTTGAAAAGACCTGCCTATTCCTAAACTCTACTCTGCACGGAGAAGACAGAGGTGCCATGTTCTGAAGCACGCAGGGCTCAACGCATGCACCATCCGCAGTACCCCCGAAGAGCCTCCACACCGCCGGGGTCATGAAGAACTATGTAGAGCCGGGCGCGGTGGCTCAAGCCTGTAATCCCAGCACTTTGGGAGGCCGAGGCGGGTGGATCACGAGGTCGAGAGATCGAGACCATCCTGGTCAACATGGTGAAACCCTGTCTCTACTAAAAGTGCAAAAAATTAGCCGGGCATGGTGGCACGTGCCTGTAGTCCCAGCTACTCAGGGGGCTGAGGCAGGAGAATTGCCTGAGCCCAGGAGGCGGAGGTTGCAGGTGAGCCGAGATCGCGCCATTGCACTCCAGCCTGGGTAACAAGGGCGAAACAGGGCGAAACTCCGTCTCAAAAAAAAAAAAAAAAATCTATGTAGAGCCTCCAGCCCCCTGAGAAAGCTTGTATCTCAGGTAACTCTCAAGGGAAGGGGCCCTGGTAATTACACTTGGCAAACATCATCCCACTGGAACCTGGAAGGCAACCTCTTAAACACAGATCTGATCAGTACCAGGCAAAGCTCACACTCCAGATAAGTGCTGGTCCTTAACCCTGAAATGTCCTAAAAGGACAGTGGGGTGCTGCAAGGGTCTCCTCTGCTGAAACATTGACCTGTGCACTGAGCGCTGTGAGCCACAGAGGCTGCACCTCCAGCCCTGCCAATACCAAGCAGGTGACAGCCAGCTCCTAGTACCCAGGGGGATGGAGAAAGCCCAACAGCCACCTTCCCCATTTTCTTTCTTCTACAACGTAATCCAGGCCACCCACGGGTTTTAAACTCGTGTCTCAAGTATTCCTGCTGTCGTCTGCTCTGCTATAACCAAAACCAGGACCAAGGGCACAATCTCTCTCAAGTTAGGACTGTCTCAGATGCAGAGAAACATGCCAGCCTCTGAAGTGGGTCAAGCCATCCCTCCATCCCAAGGCTCACAGGACCCAGAGAGGAATAGAAAATGGGCTGCCATTACAATTTTCCAAAGGGATTTCAGCAAGCAGAGGCTGACCTTTTTTCTTTTCGCTCTCCCTACCTCTATTTCCCCACTGTCACGTCCCCACTGGGAAGACCCAAAATGTCCTGCTACGGTGGAAAAAAGTGAACACGCTTTTGCTACCAGAGAACAAACCTACCAGACGGACCCTGGTTGGGAAAGACTCCAACAACCAATTCTGCCTCTATCCAAAGGGCAAGTCTAGCCCGGGAGCCCGGGGAGCCCGGGGAGCCATCAGTGCAAAGCCCCACGTCTTGCCATTGCTTGAGCAGCACTTCCTGGCTCTTCACGCTGCTGCCCTCTCCTCGTCACCCTTTGCCCTCAAATATCTCAAGGAGGCCTCCTCTCATCCCAAGTCTCCTACCTAACAACAGAAATGACATCCAGACACAGAAACAAGTCTGGTCCAATCCAGCCCCATGGGACTACTCCATACTGCATGCTCTGCAGCCCAGACCAAAATAAACTGTGACGTTCTTGAGAGAGACACCACAACAGGCATAACCGCGTGCTGCGTGTTCCAGCTCCCTCTCTGAGCCTTCTCTTGCCTGATGGCACACGTGTGCAGCGCTGGAAGGACAAGCCTGCAGTCGTCGTGGCAAACCTGCTATCTTGGATTTTTGTGAAAGCCATTTGTAAATTATCCAGCAGAAAAGGCTCAGAGAAGCTAACAATCTTTATCTGAAGCAACTGAAAAAGTGGGTTTTAGCAAGTCTGGCTGTCAGAAAGATCAAAGCAGCACTCACTTAGGGTCTTCACAGGGATGGATACAGGCTGCCCGGGAACTTTTAGAGCCAGCCACAGAGATGGCCCTGGAGACAATCTTGCTAAGGGACCTCAGACCACAGCTCCAGCTTCAGCCTCCGGTCAGGTGGGCAGCTACCAGCTACTGCCCCACCCCTGCCCCCCACGCGCCCTCCCCACTGTGCAGTCAGCATCCTCACTTCTTCTGGAAGGCCAGGAGCAGCCTCGGGTCCAGGATGTTCTCCTCTGGCTCCCAGCTGTTATGTCTGCAAGGCAGAGGGCAGGGCAGCGTGAGGCGCCAGGCTGATGATCAAGGGTTCGCAAAGCAGTCCGAGGGCACCATGCTAACTTCTCAAAGTCCAAACCCAGGTTTTGGAGGCTGGCCACCCCCCACCAAGCCAGCACTAACCACAGACCCAAAGGGAAACTGTCGCTCCAACCCCCCAATTACAACGAGGCCACAAGAGGACTCCCACAGTCTCTGCCTGGGAGAAAAACGAATCCCAATAAAAAGCAAAGTTGCAGAGAGAGGGAATTCCCCAAACCCTGGCCCGGAGCCAGAGGAGGAAGGGAAGGCAGGTCCAGGATGCAGGGAGGGGCACAGGCGCCCAGCCCGAGATCCAGAACAATGTGGCGCGCGGGCCGGGGCACCTCGAGGGGAAGCGAAGAAAGAGTGGGGTCTGGGGAGACGGGGCGACGGGGCCGCGGGAGCAGCTGTGCCGAGCCAGAGCCCCTTCCGGGGACGCCAACTCCACTCCCTTCCACTAAAAGAAAGAAAGAAAAAGAAACCCTACATCCATCAATAGGAAGCTCAGGTTACAGCGGGGAGAGTCTGGCCAAGAGGAGGGGGGCTCGCGTCCCGCGCCTCGCTCCCGGCCGGGGCAGGGGAGGGGTGAGCGCGGCGCGTGGGCCCCGGGCCGAGGGGCTCCGGCGCGGCGGGCCGCCCAGCCCCGCACCCGCGGACGTGTAAACAAAGGGCAGCCCCGGGCCGGGCGGCCCCCGCCCCCTCGGAGCCGGAGGAGTCCGCGGGGACACCACGAACTTCCCGCCCTGCCCGCGGGCGCCCCCAGGCCCCCCGACGGCGCGGCCGAGGGGCTCCGCGTCGCCAGCCCCGGGCGAGGGGGTGGCGGGGCGGGGCGGCGTCGCGGGGGACTCACTTGGAGGACCAGCCGCGCCACTTGACCAGGTACTCCAGCTTGCCCTGCGGGGAGAGAAGACGGGCCGTGAGCCGGGCGGGCGGCGGGCGGGGGCGGGGGCCGGGCGGGCCGCACGCACCTTGCGGAGCCGCTTGCTCAGGATGCACTCGGCGGCGAAGACCTGCTCGCCCACGCTGCTCAGCTCCTCCATGCTGCCGCGCGCCCGCCCGCCCGACCGCGGCGCCCGCCGCCCGTGGCCCGCCCGCACCGCCGCGCGCCCCGCCGGCCGCACACAAAGCACCGCCCCCGCCCGGCGCCGGCCCGCCCCGCGCACGCGCACCGCCGCCCCGCGCTCGCGCCCCGGCCCGCCCCGCCCCCGCGCGCTGCCCAAATCCCGCGCCGGCCAATCAGCGACGGGGGGCGGACGGGGGGCGGGCGCGGGGCGCGCATTGTCCGCGGCGGGCTGGGCCTCGCGCTCCCGCTGGGGGTGCCGCGCGGGGGCGGGGGCGCGGGCGGGGGAGGAGGAGGAGGCGCCTGGGGGCTTCGGGCCTGTGGCGCCCACCGAGTCCCGCGTGGCCCCCGGGGCGCGCCCGGCTTTGCTCCCGACTCCGTTTTCCGGGCTAAAGGCCATTGTTCTGGCTCGAAGGGAGGGAAGCGGGACGGGGCGCGGCGGCCGCTTCCTGCCCCCGCCTTCCAGGGGCGCTGCTCCGGGGCGCGCGGGGCCCCACCCTTCTTGAACTGGCTTTTCCTGGTCGGTGGGGGGGTGGGGGGTGGGGAGGGGAGTGTCGCCCTTTTTTGCAGGAGACCAAAACGGGTCGGGGGCTGGGGAAGGAATGGAAGATGAAGTCCGGGGGAGGGGCCCACAGACCCCAGCAGCCCAGGCTTTCCCCCCAAAGGCGAGAGAGGAAAATGCATTAACTTAAACCGCCAGGCACTCTGAGAAAGAAGTCATGCGAACTGCCCGGAGTTCTTATTAAACATCCAGGGACAGGGGAACCCAGCCTCCGAGTTTTCGGGCACGTGTAGGGAGAAAGCCAGCTGCGCCTTTTCTGAATTTGCTCCCCGATTTTGATGAAATGGGGGAGGAGGGGGCGGTCCGCGGGGCTGTTCCTAACTTAGGACTAGGTCAGTAGCGGCCGGTCAGGGTTCGGTGGCGGGAGTCCATCGGATCCATAGTGCGCGGCAGAAGAGGGACCAGACCACGTTCTGGAGGTGGGGGTGTCCACGTGCCCCCGCGTCCTCCCTGGGATCGTTGTCCGCGGGCTACTCTTTTATTCCGGTATTAAGATTCGAATTTCATGAACAATCATCCTATAAGTTATTTACGTTTTGAATCTGCAACTCAAACGCGTCGTGAAAGAGCTAGACCCGAGCCTCAGTGCAATCTGACTCAATGAACATTCACTCTGCTTTTGTTGTTTCCTTGAACACAGCTGCAAAGTCCTCTTTCTGTTGAGCAGATCCAAAAGTCGTTTGTTGTTGTAGGAGACTGTCTGAATGTAATTGTGATCATCAAAACCATATTTATAAAGCGTTCTGCAGGAGAAATGTGTTTTTTTTTTCTTTTAACGGAAAGGCCTACTGTAAAAATACTGAACCGTAGGAACCCATCTGTCTGTCGATGGCGTGTTCTTCAGTTTATTTGGTTAAATAGGTTACTTTCATTTGATTTGCTGGTGAGAACGTGCAAATTCAGATGTTGTTTGCAAAGAAGGCGGGAGAAAGGGAAATTTGCTTGAGGGAAAGGTGTTTACTCAGGGGCAGAGGCAGTCAAGAATCCTCGTGTTGGGATGAAACTGGCGTCTGGAGTGAAGGGATCCGCTAACAGTCTCTCCCCACCGGCTCCTTTTGTATCCCTGCCTTGTACAGCTTGGCAGTAAATTGTGGAGTTGAGGGCAAAGGTGTATTTATTGTAATCCTACAAATAGCTGGATCAGTTTCAACTCATGTTTCCTTGCAGAATTCATCTTGGGTCTAAGATTTTGCCCTGAAAGTTCCAGTTTCCTCTGACCCATGGTATGCTGGGATGCTTGCTTGATTTCATTTTAAAGAAATCAGAAGGCTTTGAAAAGGGAATGATTTTTTTTTTTTTTTTTTTTTTTTTTTGCCTAAGAAATAAATTTGCTAGAATTTGATACTAGCACATCGAAAAAGAAATCAGTGTCCTGGGAGGTTTAACATGTATGTCATCTACCTAACTGCAAACACTCAGTTTGGGTAACCTAATATTTAGGTAATTCATTTACCTAAACAAATATGACAGATTTGGCCAGAATAAAATAATCAGATACATACTGTGAGCATGTGATCCAAAATCACACCTATAACCCCAGGACTTTGGGAGGCTGAGGCAGGCAGATCATGAGGTCAGGAGATGGAGACCACCCTGGCCAACATGGTGGAACCCCGTCTCTGCTAAAAATACAAAAATTAGGTGGGTGTGGTGGCGTGTGCCTGTAATCCCAGCTACTGGGGAGGGTGAGGGAGGAGAATTGCTTGAACCAGGATGTCGGAGGTTGCCATGAGCCGAGATCTAGCCACTGTACTGGGGACAGAGTGAGATGCTGTCTTAAAAAAAAAAAAAAAAAATTATATATGAGATTGTTTAAAACACATACAAAAAAGATATAAAAAATACAAGCACGGGGAGATATTCAGAGAGTACAGACTTTGTTTAGTGCTGATTTTCTTTCTATGCAAGTGATAAGGACAAGCATTAACGCATTCAGGTCTGAAATACTACAAAGAAAGTGTAAGTGTTTTCACGCTATGCTTGTGAAAATTGAAGATACTGAAGCAAAGAATGACTCACTCTGAAGTCAATCGAAAGGTCAGGAATTGAAATCAATCCAGTGACCCTGGACTTGGCAGCTAAAACTAGATAACGTTAGTTACTTCTTACAAATAGGTTCACACAGCTCTTAGGTTTTCTAAAAATACCGTCTCCGTACCGCCATCAGCGGCGTTGGGTAAAAGGAGGAACCAGACACCACCACCAGCCGATCTGCATGGGATGTACTCAGGATTTGGAAGACATCACACAACGTTTCCTATTTTGTGTAATAATTTGCCCCCAGCTCCTCTGCACATTTACAAGACTACGGTGTGACTTACAGGCTAGCTGTGTTAACGTGATGCCGTTTCTGTGTGTGTAGTAGGTAAATATTACATGTACGGGACACACGTGTTTTTGGATCAGAACCCAAGTAAAAATCAGCACAGTTCAGGTGCTTGCAGGACTCCTCAAGCTTTCATTTTGCCCAAGGACCCCTGGACACATGATGCAAACGTCCACCCCTGGATCCTGACCCAGGACACCCCAGACGCAGCGCAGGGCTCTCAGCGTTTTAGGACACTTCTTGCAGAGGGCAGCCTGCCCGAGGCCGCGCTGTGCAGATGAGGCCGATTGGCACCAACTCTGTCAGGTACAGGGCTGTGGAGCCTGGTCCTGCGGTTTCCCGTGTTTGCCTGGGAGGGCAGATGCGCAGGCTGTTCTGGAAGTGGTGGAGAGAGCAGCTCTCCTGAGGCCTTCCAAAGTCAAAGGCTGGAGCAACCCCCTATGCTCCTGGGAGTCCCCCCACCCTTGCCCCTCAGACCGCCTAGTCCAGGCGTCCCCAAACTACGGCCCCACAGGCCGCATGCGGCCCCCTGAGGCCATTTATCCGACTTCCCGCCGCACTTCAGGAAGGGGCACCTCTTTCATTGGTGGTCAGTGAGAGGAGCACAGTATGTGGCGGCCCTCCAACGGTCTGAGGGACAGTGAACTGGCCCCCTGTGTAAAAAGTTTGGGGATGCCTGACCTAGTCCATTGCAGCCCGCCTAAAGACCGGCCCAGGCTGGAGCCCCCCGCCTGCCCACTGGATCCTGGAGGCAGGGGGTGGTTAAGCAACACAGTTACAGGAGGTGGGAAATGCACGGTGGGCTCTTTTCAGATGATAGACTCCTTGCAGGAGGTCTCTGTTACACGAAGCTTTTATTTTAAAGAGTGTCATTTATTAATTTTGCAATCAGATCAGTCTCTGCTTCCAGTTTCTTACTCTTCAGTGTACCGATGAACAACTTTAACTTCCCGTGTGCAGAGTGCTGGCGTAGCTACAGAATGGCACGCATAGCGCTGTATTAAAAGGCTGTGTCTTCTCTATGGGAGAAAGGAAAAAAAAAAAGGATACATGGCTCTACTGTTTTGAGTTAGCTATTGTCACACTGCCCTTCGAGGGTCTGCGCTCATTCACACACACCCTGGGTCGGTGGGGTTGGCTTGCTCCCCTCTCCTCAGTAACCCTAGTAATTGCAAGTGATCCAGCGATGTCTGAGCGACCCTGATGCTCAGCTGGTCCGGCGGTTCAGCACACATGCCACGTTGGCTTTTCCAAGGCCTTTGCCTGGTGCAGAATTGTTACAGTGCAAAACGGTTTATGAGTGTAATTTTCCAGTGTGAAATGCGATAGTTTCACAATTTAAAAAATAACAGGCTGGGCCCAGTGGCTCACACTTGTAATCCCAGCGCTTTGGGAGGCCAAGGCGGGTGAATCACGAGGTTAGGAGTTCAAGACCAGCCTGGTCAATATGGTGAAACCCCGTCTCTACTAAAAATACAAAAATGAGCCAGGCGTGGTGGCGGGCGCCTGTAATGTCAGCTACTCCAGAGGCTGAGGCAGGGAATTGCTTGAACAGGGGAGACGGAGGTTGCAGTGAGCCAAGATTGCACCACTGCACTCCAGCCTGGGTGACTGAGCAAGATGCCGTCTCAAAAACAAAACGACAAAAAACCCCATACAGTTTAACTAAAATCTAGGGGCGAAGCCCTTACCTAGATAGTTCAGGGATTTACAGTGATGAGAAGAAATGCACCGTTCCTGAGTGTGCTAATCCTGCCTCCTCTCCTGGGGTGGCCTCAGCAGCCTCCATAAATCCTTTAGGGACAACCTACGGGTCTAAAGATTGGAGAAGTGCATTGGAAGAGCCCTTCTAAATCAAACGCTTGTTCCATTTCACCCCCTTCATCAGCTGAGTTACTTCTTGTCGGAAACAACCCACACACAGAAATGTTGTTTAATGTACACACACTTGCATTCCGCTGCTTTTTGGTGGGAGAGTGTAACAATCTGCCCAAGAAATTCCTATTCAGAAAACAGCCCGACAACTCTCGGTGATAGTCGAGCTGCATTTGGCGTCAGGGAAGTTTAGAAGAAGGGACTGGGAAATCCCGCTTTATACGTGAGAAGAGGGCAGCCCAGAGCACGTCCAGGTTCCCTGGGTGAGTGAG